TCTTAATTATATAATTATAATAGATCTTAATTATACTATTATAAGACAAAAGATCATTAGATATATAATTATAACTAATAAGATTATAAAAGCTTTAACTATAAATATACTAGAATATATAAAATATATTATTATCTATTATTTTTATTAGTAGCTATATATATATATTAATTTTACCTATATAGTAGCCAAAACGTATTATTAATATTTATAGTAACAATTTATAATAATAATATATTACTATAACTAGTTAGAGATTGTAATTATAATTAGAGATTTTAATTATAACTATAAATAGACTTTTCTATAGTTAAATATACTATGTAAAAAATTATATATATAATTAAACTTCACACTATTTTTACTATATTACTTTTCCTCTTTATCCTCTTTTAAATAATATATCTCTATTAATAATATATTACTGAAGATTTTAATTTAATTATTTGTATTATTTAGCTTAATTTTTTTTTATTTAATCTACAACTATATAAGTAATATCTATAACGTTAATAATAGTAATAATAAAATAAAATTAAAAAGCTTTAAAACGCTTATAAAGTTTGCTATATTTAATAGTAAATAGCTCTATGTATACTTACAATATTAACTAAATTTAACTAATATATTATTAATCTCTCATTTAATAGATTAATATAATATTAAAATATTAATATATTAAGATAACTCTAACGTATTTAAAACTAATATTATAGAGTTTTTAACTAACTTTACTATTGTTCCTCTTAGTTCCTCTTAGTAATCTAATATTTATTCTTATATAAATATCTCTTTCTAACTTTTAATAGTATAAATAAAGTTTAAAGTAAGACATTATATTAGAGAGAGCGTTAAACTATTTTTTATAATAAGTGTTATTATCTATAAAATTTTAATTGAATTTCTAATATTTTTAATAAGATTTTAAATAAAACCTTATTTAGTAAACTAAATATTTCATAACTTATAAATTACTTATAAGCTACTATTTATTAGTTACAATTTCTATAATTTCTTTTTAAACTTTTTATTAATATTATATTATTTATTATAAATAAACATAAACTACTTAATAAAGCTAGCTATTTAATCCAAAGCCTTTTAGAGTAAATTTAACACTATTAATAAGGATAAATAAATTAGAAGTATAACATTTAGTTAGTAAGTATTTAGAAAGTTTAATAATAGAAGAGTTAATAATAAATACTATAAAACGTTTATATATAGCTAATATATTAATAATAATAGCACTAATAGTAATAGCTATATATATAAATTAAAATGCTAAAAATAATAATCTAATACCTCTATACTACTATATATATTAATAATAGTGTTATTATTAGTATTAGTTAGACTAGATCTTAATTCTAATAATAGAAATATAGTATTTTTAACCTTTTCTTCTATTATTACTATTATCTTCTAATTATTATTAACCTTAACAATATTCTTATTTCTCTTATTTTAGTGTTTTTAATCTTTAATAAACTAATTATAAAATATCTTACTAAATAGTTCTTTAAGTAATTCTATATTATTAATACTAGTATATTTATTTAGGATAGCTTTCATTTATTTCTCTGTATAATAAGATTTAATGTTATAATATTTCTAGTTTAATATATAAAATTAGTTAAATATTTTATTACTTAAACTATTTTTATATTTATAATACTTCAAATAGATATATTTATAGAGAAGCTATTTATATAACGTGGTTCATCAGTCAGCCGGCCGGACTAGTCAGCCGGACGTTTTTTTCTAAACACTCTTACGTCCAAATCACTTAAACCATTAACGTATAAAATCTCAACAACCATGATGCTAATCTACACCCAAGAAGACAAAGTCATTCTCGCAATTAAAGCGATCCAATTGACATGCGCTGTAGGTAATAACTTAAGCATTTCACATGCTGCAAAGACCTATAGTATCCTAAAGAGCACCTTAGCTAATAGAATAAATAACTGACTGTAATATAAATAAGCTTAACCTTAACGATATAAACTTAATCTAATTAAAAAGAAAATACTTTTTTAATATATTATTAAATTGGATTCTAGAGGATGTCCTTTTTATTTTAGTAGTATAAAAGATATAGCTAATCTCCTGCTATAAGCTTATAATAGTAAGCCTATTAATAAGCGATAAGCTAAATAGTTTATAGACTTATAGCTTATTTTGAAAACTAAGTTTAATTATCTATATAATTATTAAAAGGCTCTTTAAGAAGATCTTAAGGTTATATTAAAGTGGTTTATATTATTATATAATATAATAGCTAAGTATAATATCTAAGAGGGGGACCTATATAATTTTAATAAAACTAGCTTTATAATAGGTATAATTACTATATTAATAGTGGTTATATATGCTGATTAATATAGTAAAGTAAAATCTATCCAGCTTAGTAACTATAAATAGGCTATAGTTATTAAATATATTAATTTAGGTAGGTGGTGTATCCCTCTATTTATAATTATTAAAGGTATATATCACCTGGCTAGTTAGACTATAGAATTAGGTTTTCTAAGTACTAAGTAATTAAACTTACTGCTAATAGATAGATAGATGATTAGATAGGTTTTAATTAGATTAAATACTTTAATAAATATATTAAGAACTAAATAAAGGGTGTCTATTAGATACTTATCATTAATAGCTATAAAAGCTATTTATCAGCTAAATTTAACAATTACTATAAGCAGAATAATATTATAACTATCAGTATACCTATATATTTATTATATCTACTATAGCTATTAGATGTTACCTTTTATTTACTTTTAAAATATATATATAGTAATAAAATCAACTAATTTATTAAAGCCTCTATAAATCATATCACTAAGTCTAAGTTCTTTGTTACCTTCCACTAAGCCTGTAATAAGGTTTTTAATAAAGAAAATATTAGGTCTCCTTTCTAAAACGCTAGAATTTCACTATAAGACCTAGACCATATTATTAAAAAGCTTATATATATTTACAGATGCTTACACCTCCTATAGCTAACTTTTTAACACCTCCACCTTAGCAGTTATAAACACCCTCTAACTTATAACAACCTATCTCACAGTCTAACTTTATTAAAAGTTATATCTCTACTTACTAAGAAAGCTTATTAATACTAATTATTATTATAGTTAAGTAATTATTAAAAGGTATATAAGTAATAGCATACTTAATTACTATTTAACTAATTAGCTTTATATCCTTAAGGATATAAATATAGCACTTACTAAGCGCTAGAAGGCTAAAAGAACATAAGTCCAGCTTAGAGGGGCACTTAATATAGAGGAATCTCAGGTTTTACTTAAAGGGAAACAAAAAGGGAAACGTCCAGCACCTCAAGAGGACAACAAGGGGGGTCCATCAAAGAGAGCCCAGCCAGCTCAGAGACGCTGTGGTATATATGGTGAGACTGGGCATAACGCGCGAACCTGTTCCAAAGATGTCGAACCCTCAGGAGATTCTAATAGCAACAACTAATAGTTAATTTAATGCGTTGTGGTTGAGAAATACTAGATGTTGTTGTGTACGTGGGAAAAAACGTCCGGCTGACTGGTCCGGCCAGCTGACTGATAAACCACGTTATAGAGAAGTTACTCTTTTTCTCTATAAAGCTATTATTATAAGTTATTAATAACTTTATAAAGCTAGAGGATAAGATTATAATATAAGTATAATATTAAAACTATAAAAGCTAGAGAAGTAAAATAGTAAATATAATTTCACTAAATATAGAGATTAATTATTTTGCTATTTTTCTTTAAAACTAAGGAAAGCTATAATAAAAAGAGGAAGAGGGGGAGAAAAGGGAGGATTTAGAGTAAATAAGGTAAGTAGGTTTTATAATTTCTTATAAATAGTTTTAATATATTAATTTATAATAATTTATATATATTTGTATTTATTTTTTTATTTATATTTTAGCTAGTAAATAGGAAGTATTAAGCTATTTATTACTTTAAACTAATATATTTATAAATAGAATGTTATAACTTTAAAATAGAAATTAAAGATAGAGATATAATAATAATTTTTATTAAGCTTTCCTCTCTTTATAATATTATATTAAAAACTACTAAAATATTAAAAAAAAAGAAAAAAAAAGATTTTATTTTATTTTAAACTTTATATTAAGCTTTCTATATTTTTAATAATCTCTAAATTAAAAAGGTAACTTTTTATATATAATAGCTTAATTATTTATATTAAAATAGTTATTTTTCTAAATTGAAGCTTAAATTTCTAGCTAATAACTTTAATTTTAGCTAACTCTTATTTTATACTACTGACTAGTAGTAATAATAATATATATAATGTATATTAATTAATAAGCTTATACTAAAAACCTATTATATATATGGATTACTTAGAGTAGAGAGGATTAATAGATTTAAAAGTTTTTTTCCCCTACTTTATAAAGGGTTTAGCTAATATATTTAAAAGTTTTTCCCCCTATTTTATAGGGGTCTTAGCTAATATATTTAGAGGTTCTTTTACAGCTAATCACTTTCGCCTAATTAGGATGAAGTTTAAGGGTAGTAGATCGAGGGTCGTGCAAGTGGTCAAATATAACCTTTCTTCCGAAAGGCATGTCGAACCGAGAAAACCAGTTGTAACAAGGCAAGCCATGAGAGGGACGGTTTTAACGTTAGACTACCAGTACGAAGGAAGCCTGCCTAATACGGCGAGTTTCGTCGATGATCAACTTCTCAGGGCGTTTTGCTAGGCACCAATGATGTTAGCTTCGAATAAATTGGCATCCAGGCTTCTGAGTGCTTGCCGCTTCGCTCAAACGTGGCTTTTTGGACGCTCAGCTGGAACAGAAGTTGGCCCTACGAGGTGGCCAGTACTGGTCCTTCGACTCTCATCGCGGTCATCGTCTCATTGATAAGTATCAATGCCGCAGCCGTCGATATAGCGGAGTGTTGTCCGTCCAGCCTAGTCGGTCAACGCCTTTTCTCGCTTCTTCACTCATTTTCACTTCCAAGATGCCTTCTTTTTCAGTTTCAACTCTCGTACTTCTTCTTTCGGCGTCTGGTCACGCCGCATATATCGCCAAACGCGAGATCAATGTTGCGGCAAATCTTCCAAATGGATGGACTTACAAGGGCTGCTATACCGATGGACCTAGCCGTCAACTGGCTCGAGCCAGCTACGCGGATCCTTCCATGACAGAAGAGTCTTGCGTCAATTTCTGCCAAGACCATGGCTTTCCTGTAGCTGGGGTTGAGTATTCTTCGGAGGTATGTGTTTTTCCAGGCATTTTACTCCGCCAATGCCATACTCCCTTTGATATCTTGTTGTCTTCTCGCTGACTTCGTGATGATTACAGTGTTGGTGTGACTACAAAATCCCCGCCGAACGGAGGCCTGAGACGGACTGCAACATGGTCTGCAGCGGCGATTCGACAGAGTACTGCGGCGCGGGCAATAGGTTGACCGTCTTTTCCAATGGAGGGACTAGTCCTGCTGTCAATCCTGGCCCTTCAGGCTGGACATCTCTCGGTTGCTACACGGATAGCGGCACCCGAACGCTCTCATACCGAGCGAGCGTATCAGGAGGCGACTCTGCAACGTCCGTTCTGCAATGCACCACTGCATGCACAGCCGCTGGCTTCGCGTTTGCTGGAGTGGAATACGGTACAGAGTGTTGGTGCGATGATGCCATTCGAGGGGAGCCTCAAGTGCTCCAGAGGACGACTGCAACATGCTGTGCGGAGGTAACAATTCCGAACTCTGCGGCGGACCCAACCGTATCAATCTCTACAAGGGGGCAGTTGCTCCAAAGACACCCAGCGTATTGCCCACAGGGTGGAAATCCCAAGGTTGTTTGAAAGACAACATTGGCGGCCGAACCCTCGGTGTTTATGTCGGTGTGGAAGGTGGTAAAACGAATGTTGCCAATTGCATTGCGGCATGCGCTGCAGCTGGCTACACCTTGGCTGGTGTTGAGTATGCGCAAGAATGCTGGTGTGATAACTCCATCAAGTTTGGTGGCGTCCCTACAACTGACGGCTGCTACATGCCCTGCAAGGGCAACACGGCGGAGATGTGCGGTGGCCCCGATCGACTCAATCTCTACCCGCTTGCGTCACTGGACCTGGGCTTCTCAACAACATCGTCTTCAGCCATTGTCATTCCATCTTCCAGTTCGACAACTTCTTTGCCAACATTTTCCACCTCCATAACGTCTGTCATTGCGCTCTCCTCCTCCATTTCATCTATTGGCACCACTCTGGTGACTTCATCCACCACACTCATTTCCATCGTTTCTAGTACGACAACCACGCCCACATCTTCAACCATTTTGAGCATTTCCACGTCTAGCTCAATAGTTATTCCTCAAGCGTCTCTTTCAACATCATCAACTGTAAGAAATCATGATCCCACGATTCAAAGACCAAAACGCTGAGTGAAATAGGCTCCTGCCGGCGCAGCAGCGAGTGCTTGCACCAGAACGTCTCGTAAGTCACTTCAAACACTCTGATTATCTCGACATTCAACTGACTTAATCTTAGCTGACAGTATGTCCCCCGTGAAATAGCTGGGTTGATCTCATATTTCAAAAGTTGAAGTTGCTGACACACAACTCAGGTGCTTACGTCAAGAACGCTGGTTTCGAGAGTGGCCTTGCTAGCTGGGCCTTCAAGGTTACGTCGGGAGATGTTACGGCAGAAGTCATCACTGACAACCATCCAATGGGCGGATGTTCAGCTCTGTAAGAATCCAACGTGGGGATTGGCCATTCTGAGCACAGCTAATTCTAGCCGCATTTTAGCATGTTGACACCCCGTTCCTCTCCATCTGACGGCGTGCGCCGGGCTGTCCTTCGCCAGACACTTGCCGGTGTCAATATCACTGAACCAAGAGCATTTGCCGGCTTCTTTGGTCGACTAACTAAAGCCACGATTGATGATGGCGGTCCTCAAATTACCGTCAACTACGGAGGAGTGCGCATTCACCAGTGGGACGCCTGTGGATCTTCTCAGAATAAATGCAACCTCAACGCTCCTGGTACATTGGGCTATTACAGGATAGTTACCAAGCTATCGCTTAGTCTCGCCGCGGCGAAGAACACAGATATCGCGGTGGAAGTTGTTTGGAGTGATACTAATGGAAAGAACAACCCGGTTCTATTGGACGACATCATCCTCCTGGAGGAGCGTTGATCCTCTTCTTTGTTGGTTTAGATATCTAGATGACTATGATGAAAAGATCTGATCTGAAATGTTCAATTCTATGTAGCTTGTGGACATGTTGCATGAGACGTCAGCCAGTACGCTAACTAATAACACAGAAGTGTACGCGCACCCTGCCTATTTGCGGATCCCATATTGACAAAGTCCAACACAAGACATTCGGACATGGAACAAAATGGTCAGGTCACATGCAACATGAAAGTTAGAAAGTCACACCATTGGGATGAAGGTCTTCGGAAGAATTTCCAGATAAGGCATAACACTCATGCTACATAACTTTCATGTCTAGGTATGCTCATGCTACCTCTCGCACGCTTGCTGCCCCATTACAACTCAGCCCGTAATTTGGGAAACATGTACAATGATAATGTTCGCAATAATTAATGTCCATCGGCAGTTAACCCCAGCACCTTCTCGTCTCTTCCAACGACGGGTTCCGAGTTCTTGGCTCTCCGGGGAGCCAGGCTAAGTTTTCCAAGAGCAGCATATCTCACAGCACCCCCTGCAGCTGGAATATTGTTTGCCAGGCTCCGCTTGTTGGCAAATGCCAAGGTCGCAAACTTGATGGCCTCTTTGTATGCAGCAGGAATTCCAAACTCGTCGCTGGTCACGAGCTTCAAACCGTGCTTCTCCACCTCTTCTCCGAGATTTTTCATCAGCGTCGCGTTCCGAGTACCGCCCCCAGATGCCACAACTTTTGTAACCTCTGTCTTCGGGAGAATGAAGTCTGTCAGGCTCTTCGTGATGGATATTGCCGTAAATCGCGTCAGTGTTGCGAGAAGGTCCTCGGTGGATGCTGTGGAATATCTCTCAAGAACGGCATCTGCATATGCCGCGCCAAAGTCAAGACGCCATGCGGACCTTGGCGGCTTCCGCGTGTAAAAGTTATGCTGCAGGAGCTCTTCGTGAAGTTTGGGGATAACCTTTCCTTGCGATGCAAGCTCGCCATCTTTGTCGTAGCCTCTACCAGTGCGAGCTTTGCAGACATGGTCGATCATGACATTTCCCGGGCCTGTGTCGAATGCCATCATCTTGCCTCGGTCCGCATTAGCAAGCTGCAAGTTCGCGATCCCGCCAATGTTCAGAGTGACCGTCGGTCCATCATTCCGAAAAGCGACAAAGTCAAGGTACTGCATGAGAGGTGCAGCAGAACCACCAAGGGCGTGGTCGAGAGGTCGAAACTGGGTGACCGTATCGACATCGGTTAGAGCGGCGACGACACCGGACTCGGCGATAAAGAAGCCGCAAGGAAATCCTCCTTTTAGCCAGCGGTCCACAAGGCTCTTATTCCCACTTAGGACATACTCCCTCTCTTTGACGCGGTCTGGCGGCTCTTGGTAGATAGTCTGGCCGTCGTAGCCGATGACGTCGATGTCTTCGGGCTTCAGATTGTTTCTCTGAATGAGGTCGTTGGCTGCCTCGGCATACAGCGCACCGGCGGCATAGTTTAACCGCGTCATTTCGAAGATGGTCAAATCATTGTTGAAGGCTCGCAGGATCAACGGTTGAAGTTCGAGAGGCCAGTCTACCGTCAGGCCGTCGACGTATTGGGGTCGAGAAGGGTGGCCGTCTTCCGCGATTCCGATCTGGCAAAGAACGGCATCAACACCATCGAACGACGAGCCGCTGTTCAAGCCTACGATGTAGGTCATTTTCAAGGCGCTGTGAAGAGAACGACGTGATGTGGCTTGGGGAAGAGGTGAGACCGGGTGCCTGTCTGGGCCGCCCTGCCGACTTATACCAAGACAAATGCTAGCATCGGGCCGTGGTTTGGGAGATCTGGAAACAGGATCATTCCCCGTCCAGTGTCCAGATTACCGAGCAATTATGTGGGGGTTGACAGCTTCCAGATCAGATCACATTGCCCTATTAGGAATCGGAGCATGGACTAGTTTGCTAGCCCATCGGGGGATCCCCCGAAGAGAGGGGAAGTCACACAAAGCCAAGTGGAGACAACTCACAGCTGATGTTGCACGCTGTGGACGTGAGCTGACCTATCTTACGAGAACTGCAGGTTGCAGCCGATAGAGCCTGTTAAATCGCTGCAAGTCATATGATTCGGGAGAATACATCCGCTCAAATGAAAAATCCAGAATATGCCAAGAATCGTGCTCCTCCAGATGCAAGACTTGATAATCTTCGCAACACAAGAGTCGCCATTACAGAATCATCGCCGAACTCCGTCGCTATTTAAAACCTCGCTGATGCATTCGGGTGCGAGACAAGATGCCGCCTGGTGGCTTATGTCAATGTGCCTGCGCGGCTATACTTTCTATATACTTGATAGATCGTTAGATTTTCCTTTAATCAGAATGATCACAAATCGTCGTTATGAGAGACAAAGACGACACCCACGACAGCAACGGCGAAAGTCTTCCGTAGAAATAGTAACAATGGCGAGAATGGATGGCAGTAACGACGAGAGCAAGGACGCAGGAAGAGTGATCGCTCTACCACAGGAAAGAAGGGGCGCCTTGAGAGTGATCATACAAGCTAATGAGTCGTCTTTTCGCGATAACTCTAGCAAAACTATCCCACCTGAAGCACCTTTGATAGTAAAAGCTTGAGCTTTTCTGTGTCTTCGCCAAATTTTCTCATAGCCTCGGCTGACTTTTCAACAGCGCACTCATCACTATTGAAAGCCCATCTGAATGCTGATTCGTCATTGATGAAGGAATTTTTCTGCAGGTCCATATTCCGTGCTAAACGGCGTTAGCGGAAGAACTTTGACTATGATTTAGTATTGCCGGCAAGGGCACTTACCAGATTCTAGCGTCAATTTACGATCAATAGGCTCGGACTCTTGTCCCAAAGCCTCAAGAATGGCCGGCGAAGCTGTCAGCAGATCGATACCAGCTAGATCTCGAATCTGCTTGGTGCTGCGGAAACTGGCAGCCATTACCTGGGTTTTGAACCCGTACTTCCTCAGATAGTTCTGTATCTTTGAGACAGTCTCGACACCCAAATCATTCGCAATGCCGTGCACCTTTCCCCAGTCCGCTATTCGCCCGACGTACGGTGCAATGGCATCAACGCCACCCTCGGCTGCGGTGACAGCCTGTACCAGTCCAAAGACCACCGTAATCAAGCAGCTCACACCATGGTCTCTCTGCAAAACACGTGCAGCCTGAATGCCTTCCCAGGTAGCACTGATCTTAATGCGGATTTGACTCTTTGGCACACCCTGTTCATGGTAAAGGTCGATGATGCGCAAAGCTGCGGCGATAGTGGCCGCAGTATTGAAAGAGAGAGTGACGTCCACTTCGGTGCTGACTTTGCTTGTCAACTTGAAGATTTGCGTGCCAAATTGAACGGCAAGATGGTCCACTGCCGCGGTTAAACGCTCAGAGAACGAGATGGCCGAAGGCAGCGCATTCGCGTACGCGATGGTGTTCGATACAAGTGTAGCGTACGACGGATTCTGTGCTGCTGAGTAAAGGAGACTTGGGTTTGTTGTTCCCTCAGAGGCGTTGAAATGAGAAATTTCTGAGTTCTGATTAGCAACTGTTTTTCTGCTTTTTCTGATAGGAAGCTTCAGGAGTGCGAAGTAGTCGCCTTACTGTCAAAGTCGGCGGTATCAGCAATCAGAACCGTGCCGGCATCCTGCAGCTGCTGTAAAGATCCAGTGCCCATGATAATGTTTTCTTGTTTGCCGCGAGTATATTTTCGATGCACTGGGCAATGGTTTTCAGGCAATGGGATGAAAAGCTTTGGCAGTGTACTTGCTGGGATAACAAACAACCATCACCTAAGTAAATTTGGCACATCAACCTGGCCATGCCGCAAGTAAGTCATGCTACATCTTCATTATTTCAAAATCAACAACAATCAAAATATCACCGATAGTTGTTGATAAGTGTCGGGGGATAGTCCGTCGGATCAGTCCCCCGTCGGAGCATCCCCCGGGCGTTGAGGCCAACCAGGACACTCCTGGCTCCAAGCACATCATCACGTCTCACCAAATCACTGACTAAGTAATAAACATTTGCTGCGACATTCTGTATAACCATCACTGTTTAAACTTCAAGGCCCGACTTACCAATATTAGCAGTTTCACTAGTCTACCGGAGCGTCCCCCGATTAAACAGTCTGGGCCCTTGTTTTCACAGCTCCTCCCCCTAAGCCTTACCCCAGACTCGGACAATATGTACCCCAGTGATCCATTCCTTGCGGGCGGGGCTAGTGGACTTTACTGGTCTCTAGTGTTACGGGCCCATCAAACGTCAACCTGCCATCTACAAATATTTATCGCCAAGATGCCATGACTTGACTGCGCCGTTCGCTCAAGAGTTTGACATCGTTCAGCGATCTCTGTTCCAGTCGTTCTCGAAGCCCTCTCGAGATGGGCGTGTTCAACGTTGACTGGCGTTCTAACGCCTGGGCTCTGGCGTACTGCGGGGTCTCGACCTTCGGCGCTCTTTGTTATGGCTACGATCAGATTTACTATACTGGCCTCCTGGGTATGCGACCGTTTATTGACGATTATGGCACGGCGACCGACAGCAAAGGGCTCAAGGCCCTGACGACGTCCTTCATGTCGCTCACAGCTTCCATAATTTATGTCGGCGAACTCGTTGGCGCCTTGCTTGCCGCTCCGATCAACGATCGCTGGGGTCGAAAGGCGGTGTTCTACTTCGCTTCTTCCTGCATCATCGCAGGGGCAATTGTCCAGCTTACCGCCCACGGCATCGAAGGCCTCATCATTCTCGGTCGCATTCTGATCGGTCTCGGCGTCGGGCAGTTCACGGTCACCTGCTTGCTGTACATCGGCGAGGTGGCTCCACTTGCGATCCGGGGGCCTGCACTGATGATGTTCCAATTCATGCAGTCCTGTTCCCAACTTGTCGGCTCAGGCATCACCCAAGGGACCGAGGCGATTCCCAACAAGAACGCATACCTGATCCCGATGGGTCTTTTGATTCTTCTCCCTGGGCTGATGATCATGGCATTGCCGTTCACGCCAGAGAGCCCGACATGGTACGCGACAAAAGGACGGCTACCTGAAGCCGAGATAGCACTGAGAAAAATCAACAATAGTCACCGCGACTACCAATCTGCTTACGATATTCAAGTTTTAGACGAGGCGGTCAGGAGAGAAGCTGCCTACGCTGCAGATTCTACCTGGATTTCTCTTTTGCGAGATCCAATCGAGCGCCGCAAGCTGATTTACTCCTGCGGCGCCATGGTTGCACAGCAAATCAACGGCATCCAGTTTTTCTATTCCTATGGTGTGGTTTTCGCGCAGTCAATTGGCATCAAGGAGGCCTTCACAATTTCGCTCATTACAAATATTCTACAGGTCATCTCAGTTGCTGTTTCAGTTGTCCTTGGTAACAAAATTTCCCGTCGCAAGAATCTCCTGATTTGCACAGCCGGCGTCTTCGGGGCGCTTGTCGTTGTTGGAGGACTGGGTTCGCAGAGAGCTCCGTTCTCCAACGGCACCAGCGCTGCCATTGTGGTTTTCTCGTACATCGTGATCGTCTGCTTTAATTTTTCGTTAGGTCCACTGGCTTTCACAATCGCCTCGGAGATGGCAGTGGGGCGCAACAGAAACAAGATCATGTCGTGCTCAATCGTCTGTTTCTTCCTGACTGTTTGGGTCATTGCTTTCGTTTCCCCTTACTTGTACTATGACGCGAACTTGGGACCCATGCTAGGGTTTGTCTGGGCAGGGACGACCATTATCACGCTCACATATGTCTGGTTCTGTGTTGGGGAAACGACGGGCCGAAGCAACCTCGAACTCGAACGATTCTTCTTGGAGAAAGTTCCGGTTCGGCAATGGAAGAGGCACCGCTTCATGGACGTGGCTGGTGCCGAGGATCCCAAGTCCGTGGTCCATGTGACTGAGAGCGCAACCCTTGGGAGTGGAATGTCCTCTGCTGCTAAATAGAACCCGCCCAGGCCGGTAATTCTATTATACGACGCCATAAAATACAATTGTATTAAGCATTGAAAATATTTGAACCATTCAGGGCCTCACCGACATTTCCCAGCCACGAAGGCGTGTTTTTGACCGATTCAGCTCTGGGTGACGTAGGCTAGTGACTTTTACATCTTGACAAATGTTAGCCGACGTTCCACCGATTGACTTCCCCTCCCCCTCCCAGTCGTTTCAATGTTTCTACTTTCACCTTTCTCCACCAAAGACATTGAAATCCAATCAGTGGTTGCGTTGCCATGATGTTCCGCGAAGATGGCGCCTACTCCCAAGACAAATCTTGCCTGCGATACCTGCCGTCAAAGAAAATCGCGATGCGATGGCGTTCGTCCGATCTGCACCCATTGCAGAAATGCGGGACGTGAGTGCACCTACAGGCCAACCCCGACAAGCCTAGAAGCGTAAGTGATCTCAACTACCAGCCATTATTCAGGATTCGCAGGTGTACTTTGCCAAGAAAGAAATGAGGGGGGTAGAGCCCAAACACTAAGACCATCACAGGGATAACTATGTTTTGTCCCGGTTAACACACGTAGAGGCACGCCTCAAGCAACTCGAAGAGAGATCAGATCACAGTCGTCGTGCAAGCGAAGGACTTGCGTCTACTTGTCATAGTACTCCGAGCGCACATGCAACCTCATCTCAGCATTCATCTCTCGTCAAGTTTCCAGAGTTTCACACTGCAGCGGCTTGCAAAATGCTTGTCTACTGGCCCAGGATACGTATCAATTTCACCGTCCCTGGGATCTCAGCTGCCAATTATTTGTCTGAGACTGATCACTCAGACGCGACCCTGCTCAGCTCTCTCTCCTCAAGATCTTCGACCCCAACGTTGATGCTCTGGCAAGTGTCTCGAGTGCTCGAAGAGTTCTATGACAATACTCCGATTAATTTACCAGTCTACATCTCGGAGTTGTTTCAGAGTTGTCCAAAGCTTAGTAGTCAATTTGTGGCCAACAACCTGCGAAACATGTTTGGAATGGACATGGACTCTTTGGATACTGTTCTTGTGGACATCAAACAGCTTTCGATTTCGGTATTACTCGTTCTTTCCATCGCGCTAAGATCGGCTGATAATAGTCCACTCAATTTGGGACCAGAGCTACTACTAGCACTCTCCGAGGCCAGTTTCACAAATGCACTCCAAAGTCAATGGACTTTGCTCTCTGTTGTAGACGACGAACGGATACCACTGTCTCTTCTCATGGCTTACTGCTTGATGTATTTCTGGGCAAGACCGTTTCATGCACTGGGATTGGTACAGTCGCTGGACCCGGTAATACGCACTTTCTCTATGAGGAATGGAGACGAATCGTACGTTGTTATACAAGATCAATGACCTCGTCTTACTCACGTCTCCACAGTCTCGGAAGGCTCTACTACAGACTGCACTACATCATTGAATGGTAAGTGGGAATTCTTGCAAGCCAGATTTCCTTGGAAGACTCATGTGTTCTAGTGATATCCTCACCGAAGTTGATGGCATACCATCGGATAAAACATTCGAGGTGCTTACCAAAACGAACGATGAGTCCATGTCGGGCTTTCTGGAGAGTCATTTGTGGCTTAGAAGTCACCTCAATAAAGTACTACAGTATCTTTACAGCACAAGCAAGGCATATGCCCAACCTCACGAACTGGCCGATCTGGTATGCAACTTGTCGGCGGACCTCCGGGGCTGGTTCCAATCCCAACCTTTGGGCGCCCAATTCGCACGCGACGCCACAGCATTTAGCATGAGCGTTCCCACCATGCCCCTACGAAAAGTGAGCGAGACTCTTTGTCAAAATAAAGATCCACTGACATTCTGTGACTATAGAGAGAAATCGCACTACGATACTTCGCATGCGCCTTTCTGTTACATCGCCCCGTGTTGTACTTCTTCCTCCACAAGGACATGGAGTACACAGTACGACCCCCAGACACACAAGCACTTCGCTCCGACCAAGCACCCTGGATCCTCGAGTCGTGCCGCGACTGCATCGAGGGCGCCACGCTCTTTGTACACTTCTCATGCATCTCCATGGACTCTCAGAGCAGCAAGATGGAGCGATCATATCGCAGCTGGTGTGACATCCAGCTTCTGTTCGCGGCATATTTGGTTCTGGTCCAGGTCAAATCTGTTCCCGCTTTGGTGCCGATCTTTCGGGTCCTGGGAGATATGGAGAATCTCCTCGACCAGGCTGAGCGTATGTTCGAAATGTTTCCCATCGACTCGTTGAAGATTCGGAAGAGCTTGGAGGTCCTTCGCAGCCAACGCCAAAATCTGGACGCCGCTTCACCGGTGTATTCGCACGGTTCGGTGTGATGTTTGGATGTTGATGAAAATAACAACAGAGCTTCTACAGCTACATTTGAGAAGCAATACTAATTTAACTGAAGTTAAACGTATAAACTTGATAACCAACTAACCTAAATGTGAACTGTTGTGCCTACTATATAGACTCAGCCGTTGTCAATATCTTCCCAAATCGATAGCACTTCACATCATCAAAACACGCCGCAAGAACTGTTTTTGCCCCTCAACATTTTTTTCGAATGATATCCCACCTTTGTATAAGTCAAAGTGACCCCCTTCGACTCTGAGCGCCTCTCCTAGCGGCGCCCGCTTTACACACTGTTCTGCTGCTTCCAATGACGCTTCATGATCCCACGTCGGCAAGACAATCAAGTACGGTCGGGTGCTCTTGTGAACTTGCAGCAGCGGTCGGGATAGCATGATACTCAACAAAGATCTCCCAGCAATCATGTTTGGCCAAGATTCCCCGTTCTCAGGCTCCAGCCTAGACCAGCCCTCAATGACCTCTTTGGAGGCCATGATAGCCGTCGAAGACCCGTCGCTCACCAGCTTGACATACTGTGGCTCTCGGAATCCCACCAATGAACCAACAATGTCTGCAGTAGCAGTGACTGCCAGTCTCAAAGACCGCAGTAGCGGCATTTGAAGGACACCCGCCGGGCCGTCCACCAGAGGACACTGAGAAATCCCGGCAACTAGGTCGTGATCCTCGCTCATGAGCGCCGTGACATGCATGCCACCAAAACTGCTGCCCCACGCAACGATGCGGGAAGGGTCGACCCATTCGCTTTGGTCTGGATCTCGCACCCACTTGAGAACGTCTCGGAAATCTTGCAACTGGTGTTGGACGTTGAGAACGTTTCGTGGGGTGCCTTCGCTTTCCCCAAAGCCGATATAATCGAACGTCACCGCCACATATCCCTCTGAAGTGAAGGCGCTCGCGAAAGGAGACAAGCCCGCAGCTTTGATGGCTCCAATACCGTGGCCCATTACAATCGTTGGAACGGGTCGCTTGAGTCCATCTGGTTTATATATTGAGATGGCAATTTTCTGGCTGTTCCGGCTGGACCGAACGAACCCGTCTTCGATGGTATAACCCATTGTGACAGGGGTAGTGTCAAAATAGACGGTGAACTGTTGGGGAGCGTCCACGAGATTTCCTTACAACGCAAGTTCAGTGCGTGCTTGATATTCAGACTCGAAGTCGATGAAGAATGATAGAATCACTAATCATTACTATTGCTTGCGCTGATCTCGCTACGAGAGCCAATTCTACAATTCGAGATCTTCGCACAGACGAAATTCGAAGTTAAACCTCGGCTTGAAATGCGGAGTATCACATCGTCTGACGTCGCCCTGATGAAAGCTTAATAGGCGTAGTACGGCAGTTGCGGGGAAGCCGTTGAACGGAGCCCGGACCCCACCTTCGGAGACGCTGTCCATCCGTCCATCCGGCCTGCATATACACGATAGCTCTTTGAGCTCACTATTCACGTACTCAGGCGTCATAACAACTGGTTAATGATTGATTGAGGCTGCTGGATGCTTTCGCTTGTTCATCATGTCGACTCTACTCAATCTTGCACCCTCCGGCGTCACCGGACGAATTCCAGACCTGCTCCGCTTCTTGAAGATATCCAAAATCTCCAAATCGTTCTCTCGAAATGGCTGGGCAAGATATGCCTTGGCAATTCTACTCGGGTGGACAGCTGTGAAGAAGGCGAGCAGAGCGCTGGGGAATGCCGCCTTGAATAACTACAGCCATGACAAATATGACTGGAGACGGGAGCTGGTGCTGGTTACCGGTGGTTCCGGTGACATGGGCGACATGCTCGTACGCAAGTTGGCGAAGAATTGCGTCAAGGTCGTCAGTATCGACATAGTTCCTCCAAGAGCACCACTGCGTGAGTTCATCAATTTTTCACGTCTTCTTAGTCGTCTTTTCCTTCCGGGGCGAGTTGTGCCTCAATCTGACCGAATTTCCAGCATCCAACGCATACTTCTACCAAGCGGATATCACCAAGGCAACGTCCATCAAGGAGGCCGCGGACCAGATCCGGCAAGATCACGGAGACCCCACTGTCCTGGTGAACAACGCCGGCGTCATGAAAATCTCCACTATTCTCGACGAGACGGAGGAGCAAATCCGCCAAACATTTGACGTAAACATCATTTCCAACTTCCTCCTGATCAAAGAGTTCCTCCCTTCAATGATCAAACGCAATCACGGGCATGTCGTCACGATTGCGAGCATGGCCAGCTTCGTGACCGGCGTGCAGAATGTCGACTACTCCTGCACCAAGGTCGGCGCTCTGGCCCTCCACGAGGGGCTGGCACAAGAACTTCGGCATCGCTACCATGCACCCAAGGTTCGAACGAGGTGAGGCCAAGCCCGAGAACCCTAGCTATATCATTTCGGGAGACGAGACTGACGCGGCCCCTCCGGGAATAGCATCATTCACCCAACCTATGTGCGCACGGCTCTGATTGACAGAGTGCACAGCTCAGGAAAGTTCAAGGCCTTGCTGCTTGAGCCTGAACATGTCGTACACCAAATTTTCAAGCAAATCATGTCTGGACGTAGCGGTCAAGTATATGTGCCCAAACAGTACTCGCGTGCTGCGGGAGCACGTGGGTGGCCTCACTGGGCCCAGGAAGGCCTCCGGAATGCACAAAAAGATGTACTCTTCCATGGTTAGCCGGTTGAGCAGTACAAGGCATGTGAGGGCGTGTTGAGTGAGCTCAGACTGCGTTGGGCTGTTTTGTTCATATTCTTAACGACAGAATGACGTTCATTTACATTTAGTGCATCACTAGTTGTGTTGGCTTTGCATCATGTGTAAATATGGATCGTGAATAATGAGGAGACTTTTCTGGTCCCAAGCGCAAACAAGAGTGAGGGTCTAGAGCGACGCCCAGGACCCACGTTCTCGACCCATTGTAGCAGTCTTGTGGTGCATTTCGTAAGGTAGCATCCAAACCAAGCGACAAACACAGCCAAACGGCAGTTGTGTGAGTCTTTGTGAATTCCATTATTAGATCACGTTTTCTGAGTTGCGTGCATATTTCTGGCCTCAGATATTTCTCATACGACGCCGCTAAAGTGTGTGAAGTAGTTTGTTTTCACTCATCGTGGGTGGAGTGAATGAACTAGTGTTGTGCCCAGGCCAGTACAGTAAACGGGGCCTCCAAGGCTTGAATTTGGCATCAATTTAATTTAATTACAGAATGGAGAACATCGCGAACTGTAAAGTTAAGCCTAACGTTTGTTCGAATTAGTGAAATGCTTGTGTTGGTGGCCTCCAATGACTGCCGTCCCAACCACCGGAAACCCCATATCGACACGGGCCTCTGAGAGCCATGTGTCTCCCACATTCCATCCGTTCAGACTGCGCCTTTACCAATATCATGACTTTCTCTATAGCTACGCCGCAAAAGTCGTTCGTCATCGCGACTGACGACGGCAGTGTAGCTGCGCAATGGGCCAATGACCTTTCGACATTCCATACCCCTGATCGTCGCACCCTTCAGCTCACCTGGCCGAACTTCCACGATGAGTTCTAGACGTTTGAAAACCCGAGCTTCGATCCATGCGGTCGGTCTGAAGTTTTCAGCTGAAGAGAAAAAGGAGGCTCTAAAAATGACAGGATTTGCCGGAATCCGACGTCGACCCCGGAATCTCCCACATCACGTGTAGATCGGCCGCGCAATCAACGGCCCCCGCTGTCACATCAGAGTCGAAACATGGACGTGTGGGGTCCAAAGAGGATTGCGAATCTACAGGCAACGTCAGAGCCAGAAACCCCCAGCTTCCCGTGATACGTCTCCTTGTTTGCACCCTTTTCGCTCTTTTTCTCCGAGAAGACCGGGTTCCCAAAACAAGCTCCCGCCGCCCCACAAGGCTTTGGCTCCCGCTTACCCGTTGGAACCAACCCGCCCTCCGTCGACAGACTCAGCCATGCGATTGAAGCTGCAGAGCCTCTTTACGGGGTATGCCGTGAGGCTGGGGTCAAGCTAGTCTTCTTTCTGTTTACTTTTACCTAATTCAAACTTCGCAATCGTCCGATGGAGGCTGGGTTATCCCATCGTGTCCATGTCAAAGCTCGTTTGAGGTCGGCGGGCAATGACATGCCATCTAAACTCCTGTTGTTGCAAGATGCCTGGTGGCGATGTCGTGATGTCTCCTATGTTCAGATGTAGAACGCGTCGACATGTCTGGACTGTCGGTAGAGATCGCCGAGAAACGTCAGCTGAATGGCAAGCCCAAACGAGCTGGAGATGGAGCTGAACGTGGAGCTGGCGATCCTCCTTTTTTGTTGGTGACCATGAGATGAGAATTCAAGTATAAAGACTCGTCTCGATCTCGACTAGAGTTGGTTTTCTTTTCCTCATCATTCTCAACAACATCAACAGTTTTCTACTTTCCTCTACTCTTCAACATTCTCTTGTGCTGTGCACTTTTTTAACATCTAAGTCTTATTCTCGAGCTTTCGATTCTTCGACAATACCCTCACTTGAACATCATCTCCTACTTGTCAACTTTTTTCAAGACAATCTTTAGTGTCCATTCTTCAAAATGCGTTACTCCGTTCTCACCGTTCTCGCCATCGCCCTTCTTACCGGCAATGCCTTGACTGCCCCTACTCCTCAGGGTGGTGCCGGCGCCATCGGAGGCGGCAACATTGGCGGAGGCAACAACAACGGAGCCAACAACGGCGGCGCCGGAGCCGGAGCCAACAACGGCCAGAACCAGAACAATGGTCAGAACCAGAACAACGGTCAGAACCAGAACAACGGTCAGAACCAGAACAACGGCCAGGACAACAACCAGGCTCCTCCTCCTCCCGCCAACAATAACAACAATAACAACAACAACCAAGCCCCGCCCCCTGCCAACAACCAGAACCAGAACCAGAACCAGCAGCAGCAACAGGGCAACAACAACGCCGCCGCGAACAACGGTGCCAACAACAACGCTGTGAACAACCAGGCTAACGGAGCCACCGGAGCCACCGGAGCTGGCCGCAACACCGCCGGCAATGGCAACTTCCGCCGCGCTGCCCTGAACCAGCAGCCTCCCCCGCCCCCGGCCAACAACCAGACTCCTCCTCCTCCTAAGCCCAACCAGGCCCGCGCTGCTCCCAACAACCAGCCTCCTCCTCCTCCCGCCAACAACCAGACGCCTCCTCCTCCCAAGCCGAACCAAGCTCGTGCTGCTCCCAGCCAGCAGCCTCCCCCTCCTCCGGCGAACAACCAGACTCCTCCTCCTCCCAAGCCTAACCAGGCTCGCGCTGCCCCCAACCAGCAGCCCAACCAGCAGGCTCCTCCTCCTCCTGCCAACAACCAGACTCCTCCTCCTCCTAAGCCCAACCAGGCTCGTGCTGCCCCTAAGCAGCAGCCCCCTCCTCCTCCTCCCGCCAACCAGCAGGTTCCTCCCCCTGCCGCCATCTAGAGAACGGTCTGAGCTGAGCCGTTAGCGGTTCTTCCCTTGTGCCGACTCAATGGGTCTTAATGGCTGGTTTTAATGATGGACGATGGATCACAAGATCTTTGACAGACTTGTCTTCCGCTTCAGTAGCATGTAAACGTAGTCTCTAGCAGCTAGAATGATCGGCTATTTGATAGCCACGCAATAATGGATTATATGCCTCTATAACATAACCATCGCCTTGAATCTTTTGTGAATACCTAAGTACGCTTGCCTTTTTTTTTTTTTGTCTCTGCGAATGATAGAATCTTCAACTTATCAGCCACATCTTGCTGAAATGGCGAGTTCTTTTTCATAACTGAGAGAATATAAAGATGACTGACTACTGAATTAATCGGACGTTACATTCCAATATCTACTTGCTCTCAAATGCCGTTAAGAAGAGTCTGCCTGTGACTTGGAGTCACCACTGACAAGCTAACGTACACTCATGTATTTCCCCCTCAATGAGCCATTTCCATAGCAGCAGTCTCGTTCTGCTGTTGGACCGTAGTCTTGTAAGTCTTGAATTTCCGGGCCGGAACACCCTTTGCGAACATCTCATCCAGTTCCGCATAAGATCGGCCTCCAGTCTCCGGCTGGAAGTACCAGAGGTAGAGCAAGGAGAAGAAGCATAGCGCAAAGAATATGAAAGCAATTTTTGCGCCCAGATTGGCCTTGTCAGGGTTGAAACTTAGGTTCAAGTTAGTAATCTTCCCTGGAAATTGGTTTCGTAGATCTACTTACAGATACGGAATAACGAACTGCCACATGACGTTGATGGAGTTTTGGGACGCATAACCGATAGCGACGGTCTTTACTCTCAGGCGTGACGTCGATGTTTCGGCGAGAAGAGAGAAAGCGGTCGATCCAATGGAAACGTTGTACCACCAGCTGTAGATGAGAATAAAGGCTACAGTGCCCTTGATCATGGACTGGCTGGTGCCTGTTCCCAGACCTCCGGTGATGAGAAGGAATGCGGTGAGAATGGCGAGGCCGTAGAAGGTAAGGTTCCTTCGGCCCACCTTGTCGACGACGGCAGCGGCCATCAGGTTTCCGACGATTGACAGAACGGGTTGAGCAATCTGGAGCTGGTAGCTCATCGAGGTCGAGTAGCCAGCAAGTTGAAGATAGTAGGTGAAGTATCTGAGGGCAAGTGTTAGTTGTGCTTGAGAGGAAAAGGGTCTAAGGCAGTGTGTATCTTACCCAGCGACAAACGAGATGCCAGAGAAAGCCTGGATGATCAGGGGCATGATACTAATGATCGTGCGGCGCAAGTTGGACTTCTTGAAACATTCCAGGTATGTCACACCCTGAGTCTCTTTGCGAACTTCATCCAGGGTGAGCTCGATGAGGGCGAGCTTTGCTTTACCCTCGTCACCCCTGTGTCCAAGCCTATGAAGACTCTTGAGTGCCTGCTCCTTCCTTCCTTTGGACACGAGCCACCATGGTGACCTGTGAAGAGTAAGATTTAGCTTACTTCGAGTGCAGACCGGACGAGGCCTTGCAACCAGCCGCACTTACTCTGGCATGAATGGCCACAAGAGGGCAGAAACTCCTGCAAAGCCGAACTGGCAGCAAAACACGGTGCGATAGGCCCATCGAGACTGGACTTGTCCGGTGTAGTTGATGACAATGAAGGCGACTAGAGGGCCAATACCGTATGCTACACCGACACCGCAGGTGAAGACACCACGAAGCGCCAAGGGGGTGATCTAAGGGGTAGGAGTCAGTTGGGACTTGTGCAGCACCGAAGAAAGGGGTCTCCGACATACCTCTCCGATGTAGCTGACCATGACAGTACCGACAGCACCAACCATTACACCATTGAGAAGTTTACCGAGGAAGAAGACCACGTTCGTCGTAGCCACGAACTCGATGGCAACTGCAATGAAGGATATGATGAGAGCAAGAGCGAGGACCTTCTTACGTCCGATGTAGTCGGCAAGCTCGGCGGAGGCAACTGAAGAGATGACCGCACTATGCCGGCAAGTTAGCCATCACAACATGTCGAAGAAGCCGGCGAGTCAAGAGACTTACGAGGCAACGGGTGCACCATTGAATGCAGACTGCCACACGGCATGCAGAACATATTGTCCCTTGTACTCATAACCAAAGTCCTTTCGAAACTCGGGGATTCCAACAACGGAACTGGCCGCTTGGGTGTCGAAACTGAGCAGGATGATGGTCCAGCAGGCATACACACACCAAGCCGAAGCCCAAGGATACCTGATGAAGGATTTGAGGATACCAGTCTCGTGGTCCTCGTGGTCGGCGGCGTGAGCCAACTGCGAGTCGGCGGTAACTTCGACGTGCTTGGCATGCGAGTCGACCTTTTCGGCTTCGTAGCCGTCACCATCGTTCTGTGCAGTCATGGTGAGTGATTATCTCATAAACCAAAGGCACAGAAGATAAAAATAAAGAAAGAATCTCTTCGTTGATGCCGAGCCAACACTGAAAAGCAATTGGCCCGAGTTGAGGGTTGCTTGAGACTTTTAATACGCGGATGCAAAATTGGGAAATCAAGGCATGATAATTAGACAGGGACGACATATCCGAGCGCCTGGGGGAGGCAAGTCTGGGGAATTGGCGAGGGGCCCAGACGACCGGTTCGAGGGAACCGCCCCAAGCTGCCATCTACCGCCGCAGCGAAAAATGGTTCCCCCATGGGGGTGTCAAGATTTATGCGGAGGTGGGCCGCGAGCAGGGAATGACCAGGGTGCTACCAAGGCGTGACCACGTACCAACGCGGGAGTCGTAGGCACCCACCTCCGCATTCGTGGTGGGCTGCCCATGGGGTGAGGGGTTCGCGGGTGGCTCAAATTGCCCGATCGGGACAGACCCGCGTGGTTTGAATCAGGCGCCATCTTAGATTCCCCGTATTTTGCAGCCCCCATTCTTGGACTTACCCCTCGCCGAGCATTCTTCAGAGCCTCCGACTGCCTCTTCGGACGACGAGCAGCTGGTGAACGGGAGAGTTCTGTCAGAGGCGCCAAGTTTTAGAGTTTGACCCCTTCTTAAACGGCGTGCGTGGGCTCTCATTTCGACTCGTTTGAGGAATCTCAAGAGCGGACGGCGACGTAGACGACATTGAATACAAGTTGTCACCCAAAACATTCACGCCGATCACCAGACCAAGGACTCGAGTCAACTCCGAATGCAAGTCCGATCGCATCCGAGCTCCCAAAATCCCACCTCCACAGACATCACCAGAACCAACGCAGAGATGGCCGCGTCAACAACCAAAGGGGCAGCCGCCCTCACTCAGTTCCCGTCGAAGCCGCGAGTCTTTATTTTGACAGACATCACCAACGAGCCTGACGATGCCGGGTCCTTTTGCCGTTACCTCACTTACTCCAACCAGTTCCGCGCAGAAGGCGTCGTCGCCGTCACGTCGGTATGGCTCAGGAACAAGGTCGCGCCGCAAAACCTCCACGAGATTGTGAATGCGTATGAGAAGGTTGTCGATAACCTCAACGCCCACGCGCATCCGGGCTCCCCCTACCCTTCGGCGCAGACAGTGAGAGACCTCATCAAGTCTGGCCCTCCGGTAAGCCAACTCCTGCCCTCTGACTGCCCTCACAATGGCTAACTGGAATCGGTCGTCAGGTCTATGGCATGGAAGCCGTCGGCGACGACATCCCTCTGAGTGAAGGCGGCGAGCTGCTCCTCGAGCGACTAACCGCGCCCGACGCCGAGCCGCTCTGGGTCCTCGTCTGGGGCGGCATCAACGTGCTCGCCCAGGTGCTGCACAAGATCCGCAACCGCCCCGACGCCGCGGCCCTGCGCCAGAAGCTGCGCGTCTACACCATCTCCGACCAGGACGACTGTGGCGCCTGGATTCGCCAGCAGTGGCCCGAGATCTTCTACATCTGCTCCGTCCACGGCTGGAACCAGTACCAGTGCGCCGCGTGGACCGGTATCTCCGCCCCCTGCGCGGGTGACCAGGGCGGACCGGACGGTTCCAAAGTGACGCACGAATGGGTCAAGGAGAACGTTCAAATCGGCCCCTTGGGCGCGGCATACCCCAACTTCGAGTTCATCATCGAGGGAGACACGCCTACCTTCCTCTACCTCATCCAAAACGGCCTTGGTGTTCCCGAAGAGCCCATATACGGATCTTGGGGAGGGCGCTATATCCCGGCCAACGTCAGCTCCAAGGGCTTGCCCGCCAGGGGCCACTTTGCCGATGCCATCGACACCGTGATCGGTGTCGACGGCAAGCCGCACAGATCGAACCAAGCTACCATCTGGCGCTGGCGGAATACCTTCCAGGACGACTTTGCGGCGCGCATGCAGTGGACTCTGACGTCCGACTTTAGCAAAGTTAATCACCACCCCGTTCTTTCAGTCAACGGCGACTCCAGTCTGACGCCAATCCATATTGATGCAGATGCCGGTGGTGTTATATCGCTCGACGCATCTGAGAGTTACGATCCGGATGGCGATAAGCTGAGTTATAAGTGGTATCAGTACCGTGAGCCCAGCTCGCTGCAGACGTACCACGGCATGGAGGTCTCTGACCTTGAGATCAAGCCTCTGAACGAGGACGGAAGCAAGGTGGAAATCACCATTGGCCCAGCAGAAAAGTCGTGTTTGGTTTGGAGGGAAAAGATTCCTCTCGAGCGCGGTCTCCCTCTCCATTTGATCCTCGAGGTCAAGGACAACGGCTCGCCGCCTTTGACGAGCTACCGCAGAATCATCATCCAGCCGATCGACCGGAACTTCAGTTCAAGAAAGTAGAAAAAAGGTTGCATAGACATGGGTTCAACATAGAATAACACTTGTATCGCACAGCTGCCAAGGTTCGAATGTCGTGATTTACGAGGATGATAACGCTCATGTCATGGCATTCGCAGTGCTGACATCTGATCCCGTTAGCTCCGCGCAGCCGGAAGCATGAGGTAGGTCGGGACGACAGCGACTCTTATCTCCTTTGTGCCGCCGGTCAAAACTTTGTTTCAATGCAAATCATTTCAACACAATTAAGGTGCGCCCCGTTCAAACCCAGACCCGGACCAACTTCGATTCGGTACACCAATCGGCAGAGGGCCGGCTGACGCCCGGCCGGGACCTCATCCTTTGAAGCATCAACTGCCGACAGGACCCACCCGCTCCGCAAGCCCGCCCGTCGGACTTAGGTGACGAACCTACGTATCTCCATGTGTCCCGGCCCGTCCGCAAGTTATTAGACTTTCGGAGTGCGGGTTTCATGAGACCCCGCTTTATTCGTCCCGTGGCCTGAATCGTGTCTTAGCGTCGGGACGACTCAACAAATGAAATTCTAGAAATGCGTTAGTCTAGACCCTAGACCGCCTCAGGTATTGCATCAAGAATGGTGATATAAAGAGACTTCATCGGCATTCCGGCCAGTTTCGCTTCGTTCGCTACAGACTAGACATCCCCCAGCTCATAATAACGACTTACAGCCTTCTTCAACATGGCCCGGTTCAACCCAAGCAGCGACATCCCTGACCTCTCAGGCAAGGTCATAATCGTCACCGGAGGCAACATCGGCCTCGGCAAGGAGACCGTCACGCAGCTCAGCAAGCACAACCCAGCACACATCTACCTCGCCGCTAGGAGTCAGTCAAAAGCGCTGACAGCCATCGAAGACATCAAGAAGAATGTCCCCAACGCCGCGCCCATCACCTTCCTGGAACTCGACCTGACGTCCTTTGAGAGCGTCAAACGAGCCGCCAAGGAGTTCCAGTCCAAGGAACAGAAGCTCCACCTCCTCATCAACAACGCCGGCATCATGGCCTGGCCCGCCGACACCACGAAGGAAGGGTACGAGATCCAGTTCGGCACAAACCACATGGGCCATGCCCTCTTCACCAAGCTCCTCCTCCCCACGCTCTCCAAGACCGCCAAGTCGGACAGCGACAAGGACGTACGCATCATCAACCTCTCCTCGGCCGCCGAGGGGTACCCGTCGAAAGACGTGTGGAACTTTGAGGCCCTCAAGACCGACATGGCCTCGTACAGCACCTGGGCGCGCTACGGCTGCTCGAAGCTTGCTAACGTCCACCACGCCCGCGCTCTGGCCAAGAGGTATCCGGAGATTCGGTGCATCTCGCTCCATCCCGGCGTTGTCAGCACGAACCTCGGCAGCGGACTCTTGGCTAGCTGGCCGCTATTCAGGCCTCTGATCAACCTTGCGCTGTGGGCTGTGACGACGTCGGTTGGGGAGGGAGCCAAGAACCAGCTGTGGGCTGCGACGAGCCCGGAAGCGAAGACTGGTGTGTTTTACTGGCCTGTGGGGGTGACGGGCAAGGACTCGAAGCTTTCTTTGGAAGATGACCTTGTTGAGAAGCTATGGGACTGGACGGAGAAGGAGTTGGAGCCGTACGTTTGATGTTCCGCACTTGGTTCGTTCTGTTTGATATGTAAGATGCCGTGTTAATAAATGATGTCAACTGTATGCTTTTATGTTGATGCGTTATAATGGATTCTAACGTTCTGTTGTTGTGACCTGCGCAGAGAATTGCCGCTGGCGGGTTGTTCAAATATCTATCTTGGGGTACGCATAGCTGAAGAGGTTCGTTAGGTCGTACTTCATCTTGATCTCCTTTACCCTATTCCACTTCTCACCGTAGAGCTCCGCCGCACTCCTCTCCCCCGGCGGATTCGTAGCTGGGTAGCCCCTATCCAGTACCGTATCTTCGCCCAACGACCGGAGCCTTGCAATCAGAGACTTGCTCCACGCGATGACATCTTCGGCGTACTCCTCCGTCGGGTGTTGGTACGAACACGAGAAGTAAGAGTGACTCTTGTCGACGAAGCAATTCGGCGGCATCGTCGCAGCATCAATGTCTACCATGCCTCCCCAGGCAATATTTGGGCCCATCGTTTTGGGCATAGCTTCGGCGGCATCAAGGATGGCTGCTGCCAGTTCGTCGCCGGCGTCGCTTGTTGGAAGACGAGCAAGGAAACAGTTCCTTTGTCCACCTTTCAGAGGACATGGCGGAGGCATATTCTGCTGGCGGACTTTATCGGGCAACACCTCCACGGTGGACGCAAGCAGGGGCGGGGCGTTGTCTTTCCAGCTCTGTAGACAAGCCTGTCCGTTCTCGATATCGCCCGTCCAGGTCCAGATGACACTAAAGACGACTCCTCCTTGGGCCTGCCAGCTGATGAAATTGTGGATCGTTAGCTCCTTGGGCATAGGGAGCTTGGGGGTGGCTTCGAAGTATGCCTCGAGAGTTTTCCTGATGTCGCTGGATTCGAATATGAGAAAGCCGCCGAGGGGCTGTTGAGGTTAGCTCGGTCATGTCGGCGAGTCTTCCTTCAACTTACATCGTGTTTGGGGTACACCTTCACGGTCAGACTTGTAATCACGCCGAGGTGACCGCAAACACCTCTGATTCCCTCAAGCATTTCCTCGTCGGCGACAACTTCTTCGCCTTTTGCGTTCACGAGCTCCGCCCCGACGACCTGCTCGATTCCCATGCCATGGATATGGGTGCTCGTCCCGTAGCCGCCGTTCGATACCCAGCCCGCGTAGCCGATGATCCAAGTATGACCCGTCGGCGTCATCAAGCCAACATCGTCCAAAGCGAGGATCAGGTCCTTCATCAGAACCCCACCCCCAATAATGACTGTCTGACGATCTTCCGCGACCTTGATGCTGTTGATGCCGCGCATGTCGATCATGAGAGTGTCGTGTGCAATGCTGCGCGCCCAAAAGTCATTGCCGCCTCCTCGGATGGTGAACTTGAGATCAATTGACTTGGCCCATCGTACGAGTCGCCGTACCTCGGAGCTATCTCGTGGAACCGCAATAGCGGCAGGGCGGATGTGTGCGAATCCCTTGGCACCGTCCCGGAGCTTGCGATGCTCGGCGTATTCATCGGATCCGGCAAAAAAGAGGTCAACAGGCGTGACGCCGCTCCCGGTCTGCTCCTTCTGGAGAAGAGCAACCATGTCGTCTGTGATGATGTTCCGGGCTGCCATGGCTATACCAGCATTTCACTTGGGGGCGATGCGAGATTCCAAGTTCAGGTTCAGGAGGGCACCATCAATTCCACGTTCATATACGATTTCGCTCGTCCATGGCCACAATTTTACCCGGAAAGGCCGGTGGTTCATCCATCAGACCTTGGTATGCTGTCAGCATCCTTCGGTCTGGCGCGGGGGGAGGTCAGGCGACCTCCTTCGGTCCTTTGAATCCTGACGGTCAGCGTGAGCGCAAGCTGACCATGCAAGCATGCAGAAAACTGTTAATAGGTCCAAGCCAGCGACTAGGGAATCGCTGCTAGCACATTTTCAGTGCCCGACATCAGACAACGATATTCCTCGATCTTGTTGAGAGTATTCCGATTGGGGAAATGGCTAGCCAGCTTGCTTTGTTGGACGAGGAAGGACAATGGTCCACGTCAGGTGTGATGCAAACGCGTTATGCAATTGCTGCAGCATGGAGTCCTCACACCACTTCTGGCAGATGCCTCAAGCTGTTGGTACTCGGGTGAGCTGACGTGCGACGCTGCGTTTGCTCTACGCTCCACCAGCGAGGAGCTTGAGGGTTCTGTGGTCTGGGGTGAAAATTTTTCATCGGGCTCCGTTACCTTTACCCTGAGGATATTGCGCGCCCTCGGATCTGTACCGCAGCGACGTCCAAAGTACACGATGCCGGCTGGAGCATCAGTCGAGCAGCCGGCCAGGACTCCAAGAGTCGCCATCCTCTGCAGCAGTAGTTCCTCTTCGTGCCGCCGCACAGAGGCGGCGAGCAAAATGAAAAACAGTAGCGGGCGAATGAAGCACCCGTGGCGCCTTGGAAAGCTGCCTGTGCCAGAAAAGGCTTTTCTGCCTGTTCATCTTGGATACGTTAGCATTGAGCTACAGCCAGAAGTTTCGTCAAAAAACGAAAATATCAGGTCCCAAAGTCAGACATCCAAGGAAGGATTGCCGCTCATCGTCCATCTCAAAGGCTCGAGTGATGGCTTGCGTGGAAACTGCGAATAGTGTGGAAAATTTCATCATTCAGGGAAGGGGAGGCAGAAAAGTGAACATTCTTGACTTACCATGCAGATGTTGATGTGGTTGGGAGAAGGAAGACTAGTGAATGATTGCGAAAATTGAGGCTTCAAATAGGTGCTTCACACGCGCCGTGCACGAGCCACCTCGAAGAAAAAAAATCGACGACGCACGAGCCATCGGATGGAGCTTGAGATCCGCATAATGGAATGTCCGAGAACCGCGACTGGGGCCGGGTGCATCACCCACCTTGATGTTACTTCCCAATACGGTTTAGTCTCCATGGACGTCTGGGTGATGAGGAAATCTTCACAATTTGCCCTCGACGTCCATGGACGAAAACAGAGGAACAAGCTGGACGACCTGGAAGACAAAAGGTTACGGTCTACGCCATGTAACGATCAAGCCCGTCTGAAAATCATCTGAGAACCTCCTGACATCGTTCATCTTGCCACGGTCTCCTCTCATGGAATGAAGAGATCATGGCGAAAGCAACATCTCCTGCGTCACGGATGTCACGTCGTTTTCATGAGACGTCAGCATCATTAATATACGCTTAAATATATACACGAAGACAATCCACCGGAGACGCCGCCCCTTCACTCCAGACCGACGCTAATCGCCGCCAACGCCCAGTCCATGAAGCCCGCGTTCGTGTCCAGGATGTTCGTGTTGAACTCAGCCGTGGTCGGGTAGAAGTTACCAGAGGGGCCAAACTCCAAGGTGTATCCGTAGACCTTGTTGACGCCGGGCTTGGCCCAGAAGCGAGAGAAGGAATAATCGTCACTGGCGCCCGACGTAGGGTACAGGCCGACGGCCTGGATGGACGTGTAGGCGCGACCACCGACCGCCTTCATGGCGTTGACCATGGCAGTGCCAACAGTTCTAATGTTGCTGAGATCCGTAGCCGGAATGTACTCCTTGTACGCCGAGTCACCAACGGGGCCGCGCTTGCCGTCGTAGGCAGAGTTGAGGAAGTTCATGGTGGAAGTGGTCGTTTGGTCGTCATCGTCACCCCAGCTGTAGAGAAGGTCACCGACGGCAGAGTGGATGTCCATGAACCATCTGATCTTGGGGAAAGAATCGTACACGGAGACAAGGTTCTTGGTCTCGGGCTCGGACTCGGCAGCAGTGCCATAGAAGACCTCCGAGCTGGGCGAGGTGGAAGCGGGCGCCTCGGAAGAGTCGAAGTACTTCTTGAAGTTCCACAGGAAGTCGAAGTTGCGGTTGATATCGACACCGATGGAGCTGCCGCTGGAGCCGGACTTGGTGTTGCGGTTCTTGCGCCAGAGGGAGCCGGAGGACTGGTCGTAGGCGACGCCGTCCGCGTTGACCAGAGGGAAGAAGACGATACCGGCGGCAAGGACGCTCTTGACCTGCGCGTTGGTGTAGGTCTTCTTGCCGTAGGTGAGGCCGGTTCCGGCCTTGTTGGCAGCGAGCAAGTCGGAGACCCAGTAGATGATGTTGTCGGGACCGCCACGCTCACGAGCGTGCACCGCGGCGCTGAAGTACAGGTGGTACTGGGACTTGTCGGTGCCGGCCCCAACGAAGTAGGCGTATTGGGTGGCGCCGTTGAACGTCTTGTAGGGCAGGGTGACGGAGCCGATGCCGTAGTTCTTGACGAGAGCGTCGCAGGCCGACTTGATCTCGGCGACGTTCATGATGCTGGAGATGGTCGTGCCGGAAGCCCGCGTGCCAAGACCGACAGGGGAGACGGTTCCCGCACTGAAGCGATCGCCGGTTCCGATGGGAGCATTGGCCCTCTTGTCGAGTGATCTCCTGTGGAGGGAGACCTCTGGCACCATCTCGTACTCCTTGGACAGATGCTCGATCTGCTCCTCGGTCAGCCAAGCATGGAGCTTGTAGTGGCTGCCATCTTCGCTGGGCTTGGCGACAGCTCTGCAACCAAAGTCGTAGGTGTCGTTGCGGACGATGTCCCTGCAAATGGTCAGTTTATGTTCACCGTATGTGCTTTACTTGGCAAGGTATTACCTGAAGGAATCAGGCGTCGGTCCCTGCAGGTAGACGGGCAGGAGCTCTCCGAGCACGACAGTGCTCTGGAGGATTAGAGACGCGATGAGAGAGTACTTCATGTTGATCAAACCGAAGGGTGCGAAGATGCAAGAAGGAACGGCCCGTCGCCAAGAGGATGGATGCAAAAAGAGAACGAGGGGCACCTGCTTTCATATGTACGAAGTGTCGTCCTTTTCAGCCCGGCCAAGTCGAACGACAAAAAGCTTGAGTGGGCATCGCTGTCCGCCGAAGCTTGCGGTCACGGCAAGAACAGCTCGTTCAAGCAGCTGCCCAGCTCCTGCCCGGCCAACTACCAGTCATTATCGCGACCTGCTTGAATATCCCTGATCCCACCTGCCCGGAACGGCCTAGCGCATCTCTGATCTTGGTAGGTGGGCGAATCATTCATATAAATTCATCAGGCGCCTTGTACGTAAAAGCACCAATTGCCGCGTCAAAGGTCCCTGGCACGACGTCTGGTACCACCTTCCGCCCGATGTCTCGACGCGATCGCCGAGCACCTCCTTTTTACGTTGTCGCTCCCGATGTGGGGTGACGACTACCGCGAAGCTCGGAGTTTAGCCCCATGATCCTTTGCAACGAACTTGAGCCTTTCTGGAATAAGCTTAATCTGCACATCAAGTCGCCCGCGGATCATCGCTGCTACAGCCCAAGAATTGAGAATCCGAATTACAGCAAGCTTGTACTTGCGATGCCAAGATCTCTCAGGGACCGTTGTGGGTGACAAAAAAGAGCGCTGCGTGTTGCTTATGTAATCGGATAGGAAGTTAATGAAATTGCAGTCTCCCAGCGCAAATTCTTGACAGCACTGCTCGCTGCGCGCTGACCCCTGACTGCCGAGGTGGTGACATGCAAGATTCAGCACTTCAAACTCAGCGCCGCTTCCAAATACAACACAACATGGGGGACTGCTGCGAGCATCGCGGACAGCTTGAAGTTGCTCAAGGAAGAAGCAAACAAGTCAAAGCTTTCTCGAGTTGGGCGAATTCAATCGGAATGAGATCATGAATATCTTTCTCCTGCCCAATGCTTGATCGGAGCCAGGACGACCTGCCACATCTGGGATGGTGATGTGCCATCTCACTACGACAAACTCAGGGGAGCCATTGAAGACGATGTCAAAAGACGCAAGCGATTGGGTTGATATGTCACAGGCGGTTGTCTTGTCTAGTCACATGTCACTTTCGACAGTTAATCGAATGCAAACGAGCAGGCTAGGCCGCCATCAAAGACGAGTCGAAGCAGCGGAACCCTTTCGGTTTGTTGATTGTCATTTGCTTCTCTTCACAAAAAGCAAACGCAAACAATGAAATGAGTTATGAAGAAACGGGTCTCATGACCTTGCTTGGCATGGGGTTCAAGCCGGCGTTGTAAAACAGTCCTCTTGAGCATTTCCCAGCCCATGCCCTGACCAACACAAGTATTTTCGGCATTGACTGAGATCATTACAGCTTCGAAATAACATGGTGGTGTGCCCTTCGTAGACTTGTCCCACTATGGCATTTCACACATCCTGCGACGGTTATTCCAATAACCCATAATGAGCCTTCCCAACGGCCTCAACCATCGACGACAACATCTTTTCTTCGTCGAAGGCTTATTCAGAGTTTAATCCCTCTTCTATCTATTGATCTCGGGCTCGCTCTTCCAAAAGTCAACCCTAAAAGTCCCAAAGATAACAAACACGGAGAAAGTGCTGGACTTGTAGGCAAAGCGGTGACCTCGTGCATAGCTTCATGAGGATGTTGAGCTTCCTTACAACGGCACAATGTCTCAGGAGGCTCTTGAGAATATATTTGCTCAACTTTGCCCAACGCTTGCTATATCGCCATGCTGATTGCCCGGCCAATCCCGGCCGTCTGGTGTATGCAGCTACACCAAGCCAGGAACCCGCCTACGTTAATGACAATTCGTCCATGATAATATGTCACGTCTACCTTACGACGTAGCCTCAACCACGGACTCTACTTTCGGGCATATGGGCCATGGACAGACCCGGAGTCAATTCCCCCCCTTCTCGACATCAGAGACAGTCAGGCGACAGGTCCAGCAGGCATCGACCAACTCGCAAAGGGTTGGCTTCATGCCCACGACAAAGATGGAGGTTCGATGTACCTTGCTTCGGCCTCGCTAGATGAGTTTGTACACTGTCTACTACAGAGGCCAGTGAGAGGTGCATAGGGTTGCTGGTATCATCACGGTGAGGAACGAACACTCTGGCGACGATGATAAGAACACTATCATTCTCCTCGATGGTTCCAGCGAACCTCCATTCACAGGCGCTGATATTTCACAGCGATCTGCAGCAGTTTGGAGCAAAAGCAAGCTATCATAACCTCCGGCATTGGATCTTTCGTTCTCCCGTATGACATTGGGGATTAGGTTTTGATGGTGGAAGATCTCATCAACTCTGGCTCTCAGTATGCCGATTGAGACAGTTGCCAGGAAACACACGAGTAGAAATGGTTCTGCGCGAGGTTTCGTTCGGCTTGATCGCAAGCTTGTATCGTCAAACAAACCATTTCCCACTTTAACAATACTGCGATTTGAAGGCAAGTCCAGTAAAGGGCAATATAACCGACGAGAAACCAGAGATCTGAGCTCAGGACCCGGTTGCATCATTGTCAAGGTCAAGGTCTCACAGCACTCCGCAACGCACAGGGTCAATGACCGCATCAAGTACAATCCACACACAAAAGACGTGATCCCACATGCTTCCCCCCACTCGTCTCCAACAACCGTGCCATGAAGCCTTTTTCGGCGCCGACGTTACATGTTAAATGTATGAAAAACGTCGGTTCGGTAAGAGGGTCGTAGCGAAGGCAACACGTCCTAGTCATGAGGCTGTTGGGCTGGAGTCGCGGAGCCTTCAGCGCGTTGTAGCTGTTGTGGACAATGCCGCAATCGGTGGTTCATCGTGTTGACACCCGGCCCCGGGTGCGACGGTGTTGCTGCCACCGAATTGTGAAGGGAACCGAAACAACAGCGCCGGCGTCATTTGACCAGGGGTTCACAGGGAGCCCGGTGGACTCAGTACCACCACAACACGCGAGGGACAGGTGGCAGAGGAAACAAACATGCAGGGCGCGCTGGGGGCACTGACTCGATGCCGCGTGGAAAGGCCTGTCAGAAGACGTCGCAACGTGGAAGAGGGAAAGAATCGCCTGCGGTTGTTTGGAAGCTTCGTGACCGCTCATCTGGAATGAACGCAAAGTCCGAGCGGTGATCCAGCGTTTTGGACGCGAGGAAAAACAACAGAAGCCCATCCAAAACTAGAGTCGCCGGTTCGCATATCGAATCAAATACGAAAACGCGGAGTTCGACTTCGTTTACTAGAAGTTCCCTGTAACACCTAGTCCCAGGCGCCGGTCTGCGCTAGATCACCCGGATCGCCCGTGCTCGGTTCATCCATTGCCACTTTCGTCGATGCGAATCACGAGTCTCCCGCGTGGCATCTCCACGTCGCGGTAGTTCTAGAACTTGGCGACGGTTGGCGTGGACGGAAAGTAGAAGCCTGGAAGGGATCAACACTCAACAAGCCCAGAACGAAATCCTTCCTGAATTTAGGCGCGCGAAGGATTTCATGCTGTTGTCGCATTGTGCTCATTTCTCGCCGGCATCGGGAAAATAACCCAAAATCGCCATCGCTGCTGCGACGCCAGGGAGGCCCTTATTTGTTCAGTTGACGAGTCACCCTGGCGATGGAGGACTGCGAACCCACAGCGCTCCCGTAATATGCGGTCAGCGATGCTCTTGTGAAAAACTGGGACCAGGAGGGCTTTTGTTGTTTTGTCTCTCTCCAAGAGCATCGTCAGCCAACGGTTCGCTCAAGACTTTGTTTCATGGCAGCTCTAAGTCAAGTGGTCGGATCCATTCAATGACGATTCGCTCTCCTTCAAATTCGAGGATTTTAGTGTGTGAACAAGTCTGTCTGCTGGAATTCCAAAGAAGGAAGACTTGATCGTGGGTGTGGGGATTCGAAGAAACGCGGCAACGGCCCGGACGCCGGCTCTCGGACCTCTCTCAGAGCACAACATATCCGGCACATGTGATTGGTTTACGGAGGCATATCCCCCCCAAGGGCTAGCAGCCATCTGAGGTTCAATCTCCGTTCGGTTAGACGAACCACGGAAAGATTTGGGAGACGATGTCACGGCTCTTGTTAGGAACTCGGCAGAGGTCGTCTTGGTTGGCGAACTGAGCTCAGCTGGTTGCGCTCAGGAAGAAGCTAAGACGGCACGACGACTTGAATGCCGACTGATGAGACGGCCGACGACGAGGTAGCGCGTGTAATGAAGTACTCGCAGGATCAGCCTTCGAACTGAGGCTTCATCCAATGATTTCTGCTGCATAAACTCTCCGTCAGCTCGTTGCTGATTCAGGTACGGAAAATTTCCAAGGATTTCACCACGACTTGATGCCGGTCCCTGGGTGGGATGTAGCCCCTCCCTTCTCGTGGCCGGAAAGGGAAAATTGACGAAACCAAGATGCCATGCAATCAAACCGTTGAAGAAAAATCGGCCCCCGACCCGTGGCTGGCGCCATGGAATGCGGGCCATGCTTCTCGAAATCTTGGACGGGCCTCCAATGCCGCGTGTGTGCTGTGACCTCTGGGTGGGTACGCTCGAGATGGCATCCTTGCACATGGCTGACGATCCCCTCAGCCCTCCGTTTGACTTGGGCCAGGGGCCGCCGCAGAACCAGTCCACAGAGTGCGTCGGGGCGTCTTCTTTCGGTTAGGGATCGACCTGTCAACCGATGTCCCCGTGTGCGGTGGATTTCGTAGATATGAAAGGGCCTACGGGGGGCCGCCAAGCCGTATTCCTCGCAGCGCTCCCGTGACGTCTGTCGATGACTGGAGTACAAGTCTGGCCTTCATTGCCCTTCCCCAGATCCAGTACCACTCCTCTCCTGTTCCCCGTCCTAGATTGACTCGTGGAGGTGTAGGGATGGCCAGATGAACCACGGAGCTTTAAGTGACGTCTGCGCCCTACCTGGATCCGGGATCGACTCTCTCTCGTCCTCTCTCTCCTCTTCTTCGTTGTCTCCCATTCGAGGT